TGTTATATGCAGTGAATATTCTATCACTAGGTCATTATAAAAAGTTTTGCTTTAGTGCCATAATTTTGTCTGTCATGTTTTACAAGTGCTATGAATGACAGCAGCAAACCCATAATGCACATTCATACTCCCCTGCTAACACCTACTGAACTCAGCGTTTACATTTCATATGGGGGCATTATACTAAATCACCTATATAACTGTGTTACTTACTCAGAGATTTCATGCTTTAAATCAAGGGACAAAGCGCAAGGTGTATTTCAAATGAACACTGCTGTGGAGTCAATGTGATAGCTAATACAAATTCAGGGTTCTTTGGTAAGCCCTGTTCGTTGCTTGTGGATTTCCATTCGTGATGATGAATGCTGTGTTAAAGCCAATAGAAGCCCGTGCCCCCATAGTACCTTACAAACATAAATTACTGGCTTTTGCACTCAGTGTGAGCTGCCTGCTTAACAGAAAGGAAGGATATTGTCTCGAGTTAGATGCAGCAAATAAACAGAATGGCATTCTGTAATGCATCCTGATTTTTCTCATTTTAGGGAAATAATCTGTATCAATAATGGCTAACCAAGATTTGGGTGGGTTTTTTTAAAAAGTCTGTTCTGAAAACAGATTTAGTTTTTCACCTCCTTGGCTGTCTAGAAAGTATATTTCATAATCAGAAAAAATTATTGGAGATGAAACAGAGTATGCCATCCTAAAGGGCATAATAGTGGCATCCGTGGACCTGGATTCAGTATTCTCAGTTGTACAGATAACAGTATAAGAGTAAGCATCAGATGCAATCAAAGCAATCACGCTATGACTGCAGTTTGAGGTAGTGCAAGTATGAGGGCCAGTGTTGTGAGTGAAAGGATAGTGCAGCAGCTGCATTTTAATGGGGCTTGCAGTTGTTTTACAGAAAGGGATGTATGGCAGTCACATACCCACTTGCCGAAGACTAGTCAGACACCAGCAGCAACCTGGGAAGATGTCAGGCATTTAGTCTCCTACTCAACAGAAGCCTGGCAGAGGTAGAAATGCGATTTTAGCTGAAACCAAGCAATGGTCAGAATTAGCTTCAGATGCCTCCCTTACAGCTATTAAACTCAGAAGTCCAGTCTTAAGAATGGGTTTGTCTGGCAGGAAAAAGAGGCAGGAGAGCAAGAGGATTTTGACGCTGTGGGTTTCAAGCTCATGTGTATGTGTGCACCATCATCTATTCATCCACTTTTTAGCTACATTATCTGGGAATTTCTAAGATTAATGTTATCATGAAAACCATTCAGAGAAGTTGATTGCTTAAGAACAGATGCATTTTGTCAGATGAACATCTTGCATATACTTGTTGGATGCTCTTATTGCATATAATTATTGTGGGGTAAACCATACAGTAAATTCTATAACGTCCATATCCTGTGGGACATTTCTCTAAACTACAAAGGAAGGCATTAATCATGTACATCTTTTGTGTTATTTAGTCGTGATGCATTCCTAATACTCCCTCCCAAGGACATATGCTGAATTTACGCTCTCATGTAGTAAGATTTATTCCTGTACATCTAGGTCTGGAAGATAAGCATGGTAAAGAAAATCCAGCACGCTTTTCCCACAAAGCCTGTGAGAAAGAATTTGGATATTTATGGGGAACAAGGAACATATCCTGTTGTTTACCCTTTTTCAGAACTGTAAGGAAGAACAAATAAACCAGAGCAGGGAAGAGGCTGAGCTCTGTTTGCATCCAGCTAGCAGTGGATTGTGCCTCCTGCAGACAAATAAAGTCCACCTGAATGAGTTTAGGAAAGCCAGCAGCATCCCCCCTGCCACAGAAGTGGTGGTCACCATTACAGCTTCCAGCTGCTTGGGGATGATGGGGAGAGGCAGGTGGCCGACCTCGCTCTAAAGGCATGGTGCCTGCAGGTCTTCACCATATATTGAGTTTGCCTTGTCATAAAAGGCTTTTAGGAGAAATACGGAGTGCAAACTATTCCTACTGCATCGTGGTTGGTGACTACGAAGCACAGAGCTTAGAGGAAATGGTCACCTGGCAGGTGATCGAATGGCCAGGATCTCCCACAAAAAACGTCCTTTACATGCAGGGCATTCTTAAAGATCTACAGATGTAAAGACTGGAATTATCTAGGCTTTGAGGGGAGGTAAGTGATAAAACCATTAAACCTCTAAAAGACAAGATGGAAAACTCTCTAGATTTTTACTGAATTTTATCTGATTTACTCCATCATTTTTAGTGATTATAATTTGGGGGCCATTAAGTAGAAGCGCACTTTCATTTAGTGAGGTGTTTAATATTTAATGTTGGCTTTCCAATGTTATATACATTGTAATAGTGTAAAGTTAAAATTAATTGAATCTAGTATAATTTGAGTCTGGTAAAAATGCTAGAATGAACATACTGGAACTATAATAACAGTAGCAATAGCATTTCTGGAAGACTGAAATACAGTGTTATGCCCAAGATGAGTGTTTCCAATAGCTCATGCTCAAAAACCTACTCAGATAGGGAAAAAAACAGCAGAAATAATTTCAGGTGGAAAATGAACCAATAAATATTCCGTAACCTATCTCCAGCTTTTTTCAGAGATTATGATGGCAATTAGGACAGTATATACTGTTTCTTTGATATTGTCTACGGCTGCCAAGGTTATATGCTCAGTTGGGTTATTCAATTCTTAAAATACATTATGTTCAAATCACGATTTCTAAAGTGGTTTTCTGTTAGAACTACATCAAATGAAAGCCATATTGCTGGCTTAAATGTAATTCAGTTCATCCTTGTTGTGTCAGGATGTTTTTTATATATATATATAACGGGAAGGAAATGAAAAGATTAAAAAAAACATTAGTCATCATGAGGTTTTTTAATATCGTCAGCACTAACATAAAGCCCACTGATAAATTGCACGCTATTGAGAAGAAAGAAATAGAATAAAATTAGTATTGCATTACACTAGATTAATCACAGCCCTGGGTTATTGTCATTCTATGGAAAGTAAAAGCTTGACTATTTCAGATTTTAAAGTTTCTTCTCAGCCTTTAAGGTTATTTGCCTTAAGAGGCAAATAACAAGCCCATGTACTGAAGGAAGAACACAAGATTTTAGGCTGGTGGGGTTGGTAAATTTTTGTCATTGTTTCCAAACTACAGGAAAGCAGCATTGATGACTGGGATCCAGATGGTTAGCAGTAACACTTCATAATAGTAACCTAATGAAGCTTTTTAGTGCTGGTGACAGGTAAATGCTTGAAAGGTTTGGCAAGGAAAAAGCTTCAATAAATAACTTGAAAATCCATCTCTCTTCTTCCTTGCGTAATTATTGCTTTTTATAATGGCATAATGGAACAGCAAAGCATAGGTGAAGAAAAGGCTAGAAAAGAGGAACTCTCTCTGGAGCTAATAGGATGTACAGTGGGATTTTTTTTACTTCTTGTGAGATGAATAGCTACTTAACAACCATTAGGCCTCTCTCAGACTTAAGGGGAGAATTTAAAAATTTTTTTCATGTAGTTAAGTCTGTCCAGGGATCAGGAGCTAAAAATAGAGGACATGAATATTTTACTCTGTGCAAGTAAAGAATAATAGTTTCAGGATATTTTAACTGAAAGAAGAAAGTTCTGGGATCTCTCACATGAGCTTTTCTCCCTAATCCTGGTTACCTGTGAAGAGTACAACCAGAAATCTGGTGCTGCCTGTGCAACGAGGGAAAAATCTGATGGCTGGCTGTTTCAAAGGGCAGGGGGCCAGTCCTGCAGGGATTCTGATGTTTCTGATAAAACCTTTTTCACTGGAAAACCAGGTTTTCAATAAATGGAAATTTTAACAGAAAACATCTCTTTTTTTTTCTGGGGAGGAAAAAGGTAGACTTAAAACTCACTGAAGGAGAGGGAAATTGATTGAAAAGAACATCTAGAAAATTTTCAGGTTTTAATCAGAGGTGCACTGGGTTTTGTCAGCTGTTTTCTGTTTCAGTTATAGAAAATGATACAACAAAAAAAAAAGTGAAGAAGAAATTGACTGAAAGATACTTTTCCTGTCAAAAGTAAAAAAAAAAACTTATGTTGAGAATTTCACTTAAAAAAAGAAACCATCTATTTCTGTTAACATTTTCTACTGTCAGTTTTCCAAACAGATGTGATTGGGAAAGTGTTGTCAGTTTTTCTGTGGGTAGGTGGAGCTGGTATGACTTATGCTCCCCTGCAGCATCACTGAATGCCTAGTTGAAGCTGGTAGCATTAATGGGTCACATAGCAGGACTCTCACATTTTTAGATGCAACCTGCCTCCAGCCCCTACTGGAAGAATGACCCTGAAAAGTGTTGGCTGACACTGGATTTTTGCCGTTTCACACTGTGGCTGGTAAAACAACAAAAGAAATCAAAGGATATGCAATTAAAGCCTACGGCATGTACACAAGAACAATAATAAAATAGACAATGTCAAAAGGGAAGCCATTGAGGAAAGATCCATCAATCTGGTAAATATGAGCATTGTTGAAAGCACACAGTCAATGTACATGTTCTGGAATAAGGTATATAAACAGTGCTGTGGGACCAAAGCAAAGAACCCTATGCACAATTTATTTAGATTGAATGCTATTATGCAAATAAAGCATTTCATTGCAAAGCAGCTAAGATACATTCTTCTATTTTCTGCTGCTAAAATAGAAATTATTCAGCAGTTGTTCTCATAGCGTTATTGAGGGGAAGTATACTTCAGCCTCAACAGCTCCTGCTTGATTCACTGTGGTTATTTTGGGCCATGCAGTCTAAGTTAGGACTGTTGCACAGTCCTGATTGTCCACTGCTGCAGGCACATGACTTTCTTTTAGCCCTCAAAGGTTTAAGGTGGGAAGGTCTGATAGATATCGATATTTGATTGATTTGTGAAAAAGCCAAGTCGTAGTCCTCTTCCCTCTTTTCCCCAGTTGTCTTGGCTTCCTTTTGAGGTTCTGCTGGAGGAAATTCTATGCCTTCATACTAAAGTGAACATTTCATTTCTCAGTTTCTACAGATCAAGTGATGAGATGTCCTGTGTGAACCCCCTGAAGGCTGAGAAGAGAAACTCTGACTTCCCCACAGAAAATTGTGAACTGCAGTTTCTTACTGGCTAGCAACACCTTTGATTCAATTTGTATGAAAACTCAATTTACTTATTAAAATGGACGTTATTGTTCAAATATTCAAAACTCCATTTCTTATATGTTCTAAGCTGTACAATTGTCAGATTTTTATGGTTTAGATTGTAAATGTGGTTTTCTCTGGCTAATTATTGGTATTATTTTTTTAATTTTGATGTCTTAAAGGCCAATGTACTGTATCATAATAATATGAAGGACATATTTAACAGGTGTGGGAAACACTGTATACAAATGTATATTTGTAAAAGCTATTTTTATGATTAGCATGTTTTACTGTTTTACCATATTTAGAGTCAGGTGATATTGCACTTCTTTGTTTACAGCTTAATTCAAACAAGATCACAATTAAATAAATTGTATGATATTTTCCATTATTTTATTTATCATATTCGTCATTGGAAATAATTATGTTTATTAATAGGGATAGCTGCTAAAAAGTGAAAATGTCAAAATAAGAGAGCAATCCTTGATAAACTGTAAATTGGATCCTCCTATAAATCCCTTTCTTCAGATAAGCACTCTCTGTGATGCCATTCATCAGACAGTTGTTACAGCTGTTCCTGCAAGTCTCTAAAGGCTTGTTGTTACCGTATGGAAAGTTTACAGGAGAGTCAGTCTCCTGTCTAGCCAGGTAAATTACTTACAGACTGCCAATATCTGACAACCTGAGGTAGCCTATTGATTACTTTTTGGTTTATTTTCTGGCAGTAGTCTTTCCACTTCCGAACCCCTAAAGCCCTCCTTTAAGCCTACAGTTGGAACAATTAATTATTACAGATGTTGTAGGGGGAATCTCAGTATAGAATTTCTTAATAAATCATATTTCCTTTCAAACAGAATGGATGCATTATTTCTCTTGTGTTGCTGAGATATTAAGGGTATCAAAGTATACATGATATAGGCACAAGGTCGTCTTCTCTAATGAAAGTACCAACTTGTTCACCATCCCAAAGCTAGACCTCCTTAACACTGCAGATGACATGAAACAAGGAATAGATATTTATTTATCTACATCCATATGTGAAATATGCTCCTATAGAAAGAGACATGTCTTTAAAGTGATTAGGGGAAAAATCATTTAATAGCTACAGCCTTCCAAGAGGGAGAGACGTTAATTTAAGAAGTACCTTACACAGTCAAATAATGCTCAGAGCCAGCTGTGTGCCAGTCTGCAGCACAGAGCCCTGACGTCCACTGATATCCGTGGCCACGGGTATTTCGTATTTTGGTATCATCCAGCACCACAAAGATGAACCCTTGTCTTGTCCTTTCAATCATTCTCTGCAGACTGAAAGCAAGAGAAAAGTAAAGGTACCAGAGAGACTCGTTAATAGATCAAACTTTCAATTTCTATAAAAACCAGCAGTTTCTGAGATGACAGATTCACGTCAAACTGTGGGGGTATGAGGAGGAGGGAGCTCAAGGTCTCTGGTCAGGGTTCCAGCATGGGGACCGTCATCAAGGAAGAACTGATATTCTTCAAACATTTGGAAGAAGAGCATATGTTTGAATTTAATTATCTGTTACTGAGTGGGAATTTACTTCACTAGGAGACTATGTAACATAGCACTCTCGGTTATGTTTGTGTATCTTATATTTAGCTTGTCTATTGTCTGTGGAGTTCCATGGCTTACCTAAGTGCTGAGTAGTACTTAGCTACTTAATTAAGGAAAGAATAGTATAAGTACTCACGCCTGAGCATAAAGAATCACAGCTTCAGAATCCACCAACGCTCACTCTCCCAGAAAAGTGCAGCAAAAAATATTACTTCTGTGTAAGTGAAATGTTAGGTCAAATCAAAGGGTGAAATATTTCTCCACTTTCTATCTATTAGTATAGGTTATGATCATTTTTAACTGTAAAAATGCAAAAAGAATTGCCATTTTGGGATCTCCATCTTTGGCTGACAGTTAAAAAAAAGAACTCCAAATCTTAACAGCTCAACGGGCATTTTGCCCATTTCAATTATGTAAACTCTTGGCTGACTTAAAACATGCAGAATGTCATCCAAGGAGATCAGTTCTGATGTTGGTGTTAATAAACTACGTATGAGAAACAGCTAGGTGTATCATCTCTTCACCACCTCCATTCCAAATGAGCTAATAATCACGGAAAGCACTCTATTAGATTTTTACAAATTCTTTCTAATCACTACCCTTAGATTATATATTCACAGAAATGATTGCACCGTCATAACATCGACACTGTTTCACACCACAGTTTAAGTCCCGAATATATTTTGAACACAAAAAGACACCTCTAATAATACCATGAGGCACTACTTCTTGTGCAAGCCAGAAGCTTGCTGTGCCATGCAGTCGATTACTAGAAAGGTTTCTTAATGGCATGTTTGCTGCAAATCACTACAGAGGATGCTGGTAGCTTCAACAGAGCTTGATAGTTCTCTACTTTTCATGTATGCGATATGCTCGGTGTTTTTTGCCATCACTACCTATACTTGGTTTACATGGGTTTTGTCAGTTGTGGGGTTTTTTAACATTGCTCATCCCTTGCAATATGGAAGAATAGGAAACGTAAAGGATCTTGTCAATCAGTTTGGATAGATATAAAATCCTTTATGGACAGTCCTGAATTAAACCAATTCATTTTCTACACAGACCTATACGCTCTGTGTATTTCAGATATTTGTTTCAAAGCTGTGCAGCTGCATGAATGGAAAATATTTACTAAAAAGCTTTAAAGTTTGGATCAAGAAAAAATATTTTTACTTTTGTAAACTCTTGTATTACATATTGTTGTGGTTCTTTTTAGTTTTCTCTGTAGATCCATTTTTAGTTCTGAAAAATTGTTGTACTTAAACTATGTAGATAGCTACAATCTTGTAAGCAGTCATATTTTTAATAGGTGCCACTGCAAGTTAGAATTCAAACATTCAGGGTTTGCCCACGTAGAGCAGATTGATGGTTCATTACAGTTTTCTTTAAAATGTTGTAACATAATTTTTACATGTCTGTAAATAAATATTTTCTCTGATTTATGCACTAATTCAGTTTTGTAATTTCTTCTCTTAAAAATGTGGCTCTATTTCTCTCATGGAAAAATACCATTTAAAGCTTTGCAATACAACTGTGCTTCACAAACTTTCCAAGCAGAACAAACAGAAACAGGCATCCATAGAATGAAGTACTAATCTCAAGTAAGTAGATGGAGAAAAATGCGGTAAATACTGCTATCATTTTAACAGTTTGAGAAATTTAAGGACCAGTTCTGTGTTAAAAAAAGACTGAGAAGAAATGTGACAAACTTCCTAAAAAGAGGAAATTCTTCAGCGGGGTGAGAGAAAGAGAGAGGCCCAGTGGTGATATTCCATTGAATTGGAGAAATGCATTTTCTTAATCTTGGAAGTTTCTAAGTTTCATATATCGCTAAAGTAGCATGAATATAACTTATGAAAATCATGTTAATAATAGTTATAATTTTCTGTTCAGTATTCAAACATATTTTTTATTCTTAGTTTATTATTCCACAAGATGCTATGCCAGATTTTGCACAAGTTTGTGAACTTTATAAACTACTTATTCTTGTAATGAATGATACAGGGCCAATTCCTAATTCAGAAAGAACCCTGCTACAGATTAAATAGTAGCCGATTAAGATAATATCTATTTTTTTTTAGTAGAGAAGGTAGCCTGAGAACTTCAAAAGTTTCTGGTTTCCATGTTCAGAAGAATCCTCAATAGTCTAGAAAATTTAAATAAGGAAAACATCTGATTTGAGTGGAGAGAGGATAATAAAGTAAGATAATTTCATTTTCTGTACTTGTCTGTCAAGATCTTATGTAATAAACATCATCAAAAAAATTCACTTTGATAATCTTAAATTCTGTGTTGGATGATACTGGGCACAAGGGCAATTATTACTGAAATTAAGGCATCAATCAGCCAAGAATAAGCAGGGAGAGCATCCTGCAGTGCTAGATGGATAAAACATCAAACAATCTAACATTTTATGGGCAAAGGAGCAATACATTACAAATATTTTTGGAACAGAGAAGTACTTAACCCTTTGCATGATTAGTAATAAAGTATAGAAAATATAATTTATGCATTTAAGTTGTATTTTCCAGTATTTTTTAATTTGCTTATATGAAGATCCATTCTGAGCGCCATTTGGGACAAAGACAAATATTTTTGAGTTTTGAACCTGTTGGGAAAACTATTATAAAAATAATGCAAAATTATTAGAGGAGTGGAGAAGTTTTCCACATAAGTAATGGAATACTGTCTCTTTGCCTTAAGAGTCCGAAAGGGTGGCTCCAAAGCAAAGCATTGAAAAGATTTTCTTCTCTCATAAATTCTTTACTCTGAGACTGTAACCTCATTCCATGTCTGCATAACTTCAGGCTTTTATCGTCCCTGAAAGAAACTTGTAGGGCTTCTCCATAGTAAGAGCTCACCAAAGTCACCCACTCAGATCCAGCAGCCACAATCAGAAAAACCATCTCTATTATGGTTAAGCTCCCGCACAAGAGGAAAGATAGTGTGTGTGGTGAAGCTAAGGACATTGGACACCCTAAACTAGGAGAAAAGATGTTTGGTTTAGCCATTTGGCCAATCTTAACAGGCAGCTAAGGACAGACCTGACTACGGATAGTCTATTCCTAGAGAAAGAAGAGTCCAGCCAAGGCTATGAGTAAAGATGCAGGAAAGATTCTGTACACTAAGTAAAACCAGCACAACTTCTCAAGTTAGTACTACAGCTCTGAGCATTTCACACCAATGAAACATTCTGGCTCTGAGGATGAGAGAGAGAGAGAAAGTAAGGGCACCTGTGTACAGCATTTGCAGCTCCATTCTGGCGATCCATGCCCTTACAATGACCAGCTCTGGAAAACTGGTAGGAAAAGCCTTTGAGAAACTGCTTAGAAAAAACACTGAGTGCTATAGAAAATAAACAGTTATTGTTTTTTGGATGGTGAGGTTTGAGACTCATTTGAGACAAAAAGAGCT